AGTTTAATTTGAATTTTTAAAAGTTTTAAAAATTATTTTGAACTTTCAAAACTTTCACTAATATTTTTAATTTTTAATTTTGTTTATTTACTTTTAAACTAAAAAAAAAAAAAAAAAAAACCACATTTCAAAATTATTCAATTTTAAATATAACATTGACACTATAAAACTTTTAACAATTTTTATAAAAACTAAAATTATTAATAATACTTCTAAAAATTTTATGTATATTTTTTAAAGTTTATTTTTATAAAAACTAAAATTATTAATAATACTTCTAAAATTTTATGTATATTTTTTAATTTTGGCATTAATTTCTATTTTTAAGTTTGAGGAAATTAAAAAATATTTTTAAGACAAAGAATTAAAAAAAATATTTTTTAATATTTTTGAAAATTTAAAAATATATAAAACTTTTGAAAATTTAGAAATATTTTTATTAATTTAGCTCATGAAATTAAATTTGTAATTTACAGTAATTTATGTGTTAAAGACACGTGTTAAAATATCTCTGGATTTCTAAATATGCACGTGCCTTATTCCAGTAATAATAATACAGTTCTATCCATGGAAAAGACGACACCTGAGTTATTGACTCAGTACGCAATTTCACTATTTATTCACTCTCAAGATTCTCCGGATCCCAAAAAGAATGGCGGAGCCGTACGAGTCCGATGATCGGAATGGCACCGTGCCCGCTCCGGTCGAGGTAGAATATGCAACAAGTCACAAATCCAAAGGAATGCGTAGTGAGGATCAGGCCGTTTATGTACTTGTCCGCCGTCTGATCGCCGAGATTTTCTTCCCCGATGAAACTAAGGGTTCTTTTTCTCAACGCGTCAAGGCCTCCGTCGCCGAGAATGGCCCTGCCGTTGCACAAGCTTGCAGAAACTTTGGTCACGATATTCTTTGTTGGACTCGCAGGGGCAGTCCTCTTCGAGCGCTCCTTGTTATCTCCGTGAGTATTACTGATAATTCCAAAATGGAGCTTGTCTGGACTTGTTTTTCTTTTTTTTTGAAACAAGAAACGTCGTCTGGACTTGTTTATTTAATTTGAGATGCTCTTCGTTTAGTAATTAATGGATTTTGTACAACTGTTTGAGATTTTGATTTTATCGCTTGAATAGTACTGTATCTGTTGTTTTTCGGTTTTTGTTTGAAGGTTACGATTGATCTGGACGGGATTTATTGTTAATAGGAATATATTTCCTCAGCAATGAATACTATTAGAGACAGCTCCAATGTTAATAGATGGGCAACCTTGATAGTAACATGCAGGACTCTCGAACTCTTCTGTTCCTTACAATCATGGAATTTTATTCTGATGTGATCCTTGTAGTGAAGCCTATTGATATGTTCTTGGTAACAATAGGTTTCCATTGATCATATAATATCTCTAATTCTGTCTACATTTTGGGAAGTTTGGATACAGAACTGTTATAGGATCTTCATTGATACTCTTATGGTTAGCGAAGGTGTGTGAGAGATTTTAAATTTCTGGATTCCTTATGGAATTCTCTTAATTTCTTTTGTGATTTTGACTCCTTTATTTGTGCCAATGGTAAGAATTCGTTCGTGTTCGTATCTCTTTTATATCGGTATGGGCCACTGATATCTCATGTCCCTATCTCTTAGTATTTCTGTTAATGAAAATTTTCCTATCTAAATAAATATAAACGAGGATAAATTGATAGGAATTGTTACCATCCATGGGAAGCAACTATTGAAAAGATATGTAAAGATACGTAAAGATATGTTTCACAAGCCAAAGATGTTAGGAATCACGAACCTCCACAATGATATGATATTGTTCACTTTGAGCATAAACTCTTACTTTAGGCTTCCCCAAAAGGCCTCGTACCAATGGAGATGTATTCCTTACTTATAAACCCATGATCATTCCCTAAATTAGTCCATGTGGGACTCACTCAACAAAAGATACCGAATAGTTTCTTACCGATTAATGATTCGTACTCTGTCATTGGTCATTTGATCTATTTTGGATCTGTTGCAAGATTTTCACTGTAATAGTCCTCTCTCCATCTTCTACACGCATAGAGAGACTGAAGTCCTTTTGTATGCTCTGGCCAGAACCCCTTTAAGTTGTTACTTACATTTGGAATTGTTGCAGGTTGGGACAATTTCTCTTCTTGCATCGACGGGATTGCTCATCTTTCTGCTATTCATTCTAGCAGCAACTCTCAATGCTGTTATTATCTCCCTTCTTGTTTCCTTGGCTGCAGTGGGAGGCTTCTTGACTCTTTTCTTTGCTTGCATAACAGCTGTGTACATTGGGGCATTAACAGTTGCTTTGTTTTTTATATCTACTGCAACAATCTCAGCCATTGTAGCAGTGGTGATCGCCACAGGTACAAGCAATATATACACTTATCTAAACCATGTTTCTTGATAACCTCTCATCCCATTGACATAAATCAGTCATATTGATTTGACGTGGGTCTGTCTCATAAGGAAAACATGAACATGTAGTTTGCGGCTTTCTAGCATTATATTTCTGCTTTCTCTATCGTTGAGTTATCCTGTTCTCCACCACACAATTTGAATAGTTTAAGCTAAGAGTTTGTGTGAAATCTATCATCGGTTGGAGAGGGGAACAAAACATTCTTCATAAAGGTGTGAAAATTTCTCCCGAACAGATGTGTTTTAAAAAACCTTAAAAGGAAGCTTGAAATGAAAAGCTTAAAGAGGGCAACATCTGCCAGTGGTGGGCTTGGGTTGTTACATAAACTAAACCAGAGGATCCTGAGAAGTTCCACGAAGCCATACACTAGTCAATGACTTTCCTTTGATTTTGTCTCTGTTTCATTCAACTAGACCTTGGGTCAATTGTGCGCTTTTGGGGATAAAATTCTTTCTTTTCTCTAACATTTTGCATTTTCACAACTCAGGTTGGATTGGGTTCTTCTTTATGGTTTGGCTAGCAGTATGGAAAAGTTTTGGTCTTGCTAAGCGGTCGATGAGCGTGAGCAATTCAGCAATTTCAGCATTTTCTTATGCTAGGCGTGCCCACAAAGACTAGGTATGATTCAAATGAGTTAAATGAATGCTATGAATTGGAATATGTTGCTTCACTCATTTTTCCCTCTCCCGAGAGTCACTTTTTTGGAAGATCTGCTGCATATGTTGTTGAGTTTAAAGGCCTTGGTAGTATAATATCCATAATGTGTGCTTGTAATGTAAGTATTCTTTATAAGTATACTATTTTACGGGCTCCTTTATTGGTGAGCGATGAAAGTACCAAACATTGAAGATAGAGCTTCAAAGAAATATAGTCGTAACTCAAGTAAAAGAGGATCCTCTTTACCTTGAAATGTTTGAATATGAGAACCAAAAAATGATATGGTTGATAATTTACACACCCTTTGCCTCTGCCTCTGCCTCTGCCTTCTGTCTTGTAATAAATTCAAACCAATATCTACAGTTGCTTTAAATGCAAGTAATTGGTGATCTTCTCAAATCTTCTGAGAAGTGTGATCCCACCAGAGAGACAAACAAAGTGGCATTTATTACACAAAATTGCCCAATCAATCAACTATCCAATCAATGGATATACTCATTCAAGTCAATTCCTAAATTCACCATAAATTATTGAACATCCAAACAACACTCTGTTTATTCCTTTTAAAGGAAGAAGACAGATGAAGCTTTTTTCCCTTTGTATGATGACAATTTGATTGGTTGAAGTGGCGTTTGATTTGATTGCAAGGCTGAGGAGTTCAAATACATCAAATTCTTGTGTTTGTGGTGTGAAAATTAGCTGTGAAATTGAAAATTTTGAGACCAAATGAATGTAAATCTTGAAATTTAGAGATGTAATTATCGCACGCCACACAAATATTCATTGTTTTAGTTATAAATGCATTATTTTTAATTTAGCAAAATGTGAATTGTTGACTTCTTGGTCGATTCATTATAAGTCATGGGTTCGTACGAAATATATGATAAAGTGTTCTGTGATAAAAAATTTGACTTTTTCACCGTAATTTTTTTTTTACCCTTATATTATGATTTTGCATTTCCTTCGAGGCGGATTAGGTTATAAAATCTGACATTTTTTTTAGTTCAATTTCACGTATGAGATGAAAATTTAAACTTTTAACTTTTTGGTCGAAAGTATATACTTAATAAGATATACTACACTCCATTTGGTCGAGGGTATATACCTAATAAGATATATGACACTCCATTTAACAAAAATTAGTTTTCAGTCCCGTTTAGCTTATAAAAAAAAATCTCTATCCCACTCTTCATTTCCCAGACGGGATTCTTTGCTTTAAAGTTAAACGTTCAAATCTACCTCCCCTTCAACTAAAGCTAAAATTGGATGAAAATGCTTATGGGAGATGGAATTTGGTAAGAAGACCTGCAAAAAAATGTATCCCATGCACATTAATTATGGACCATACATATCTCAGCAAACTGCCAAATTGAAGCACTTATCTTCCTTTGGGCGACCACAGAGATCACTGACAAAGACCCTGTTGCTCTTCTTTTCGCTCTATGTCAAATATATTATAAGAGTACAGGCCTCCGGTTAGCGGGTATTGTCTTATTTGAACTTAACTTTTTTTTTTAACGTCTCTCAAGATTTTTAAAACGCATCAACTAGGAAGAGGTTTCAACACACTCTACTCCATTTCTAGTACTTTCGTAGTATAGTTTTCATATCACACTTACCATTCACGAGGAAAGTGAAGAAAAAAGAGAGAAGAGTAATTGTCGCATTTTTATCGAATTATTCAGTATTAGATCTTACCTCATTCATAAATAATTGGATCCGACCGACAACGAATGAAATGGAAATAGTATCCTTTGAAAATTCCCTCCAATTTAATACCCTATTCTGATCATTCCCCATTGGAGAGCCCTTTCCTTTCTTTACTTTCTGCATGAACTTCTTTCCACAACAAACCTTAAAGATGCCCAACACTCAGCCTTCTTCTTCTTCTTCTTCTTCTTCTTCTTCAACCCCATTTCTTGATCTTTCTCTTCAAATTAGTCCTCCCATTAATTCAACCTTCCCTACCTCTATTGAAGCCTCCAATGGAGTTCTTGGGGCTCATAAATTCAATCAAATAACTAATGGGGTTTGGCTTTTGGATCATCATCTTCCACCTTCTGAAGATCATCATGGCCTCTTCAACCAAATTCATGGCTTCCCAATTCATCCCAATAATCCTTCATCTTTCTCTTGGAAACACTCCAAACAAATGCCTTCTTCTTCTTCTTCTTCAATCTCGTACTCAAACATCTCTAGCTTCCGGTACCAGCTGAACGCTGGCCGGTCGTCGATGGGGGCGAGAGGACAAGGCGTGAGGGCGCCGAGGATGCGGTGGACGAGGACCCTCCATGCTCAGTTTGTTCATGCTGTTGAGCTTCTTGGCGGCCATGAAAGTAGTACTTTTTAAGCTTCATTTTCAAATCTTCTTTTTTTTCCTTCTAATTTGCTTTCATGTTATGTTGTGTTGTGTTAGGAGCTACGCCTAAATCAGTTCTAGAGCTCATGGATGTGAAGGATCTAACATTGGCTCACGTCAAAAGCCATTTACAGGTCTTTTTTTTTCTCTCCTTTCTAATTTAGCATATTAAATTCAAAGAATCGTTTATTTAATTTTTCTTTTTATTTTTAATAAAAGTAAAATGTTAATAATTATAATGTATATTTGTTTATTTGGAAACATTTAATTAATATTTATTTAGAAAGTTGTTCAAAATTATTTTTGAGAAGGTTCGGATAATAAATAATTAAAAAATTAAAAAAATATGTATATATAATTGTATTGTAAGTAAAAAGTTAGATATTTAAGTTATATATATATATATACAACATTGAAATCATGATGATAATACAACTTTCTACATGATAATTATAATTATGAATCTTTTGTAGATGTTTCGCGCTCATAAGACGACCCACAAGCCTCCAGCTTCTCCACGTAATTACTCACCTGCCTTATTCGAGATTTAATTATAGTTCTAAAAGTTTAAGTTGATAGAGTTCTAATGTATTTAAAGGTTAGTCGGAGTGTAGCTTCGACTCTCTCGAGGATGATATGTGTCCTTAGCTTCAATGGGGAATTCCACGGTAGATGGAAACCTATGACTCCTTTCGACTTGAGGGGACATGGGCTATGGTTGCTCTAAGAGTCCTCTTTGCTCTATGAATTCTACGAGGTGAATTGTTATGTTTCAACGTTGATTAGATTGGAAGAGTCGCCCAAATTAGATTTATTGTGATTTAAAAATTTGATAACGCGAAAGATCCAATCAAATAAATGAAAATTTTATGAATAAATAATTTACACTGTACAATTAAATATAAATGTATTTATTTTATTTCATAATTATTATTTTTTTATTATTGATTTCCACGACCTCCTATAAACAATTTTGAAAAGGTAATTTTTTAAAATATATACCGCAATTGAATTGCAAATCTTAATTAAACGTTACAAATAGATTATAGGACGATGAATAAGCACATATTCAAATTGCTTAGAGTAATTTCTAGCCTATTTTGAAATGACGTTTCAAGTATCGATGAGGCATCATCGTGGTGGTCCTCTGAAAACGTAGTATGGTCGGACTCTAGAATGCTAGACTTCCGTATACAAGTACAAGCACCAAAACAAAGTGATTTAGAAAGATTCTTCTTTCTCGATGGTGATCGGTTATGGTATCTATAGTGTTGCTTCTTTTTCGGCAAAATTCTAATTTCATATTGCTTTTTTCGGTCGTGAGTCTAATCGACTCCACCCTTTTCTCTACCGACCCAACCTGTTTAAAAAAATCTATTTATTCTAATCTCGATTGTGGGACTTCTAGACACTCTAATTAGTAAGCCTTATTCAAAGAAGTAAAAACAAATGGGTAAATAAGGTTAAAAAGAAAAAAAAAAAATTCTTGTTTTGACGCATTTGACAGCGAACTCTATGGATGAATTGTGGATTAAATGGTTAAAAAGAAATGGAATAAGGTAAATAAATGTTACCTCAAATTATTTACCGTTAGAGCTAAAAAAAAAAGTGGATAAGAAATAAATACCTCTAAGGCCCCTCTAGTACTATCCAATTTACTCCGTATACGACCCACGTGGTCGAGTCGAGCTAGAAGAGTGGGAGGCAAATTATATACGCAAGTATGACACATGCATTTAACATGATAGCTTACGATCGAGCCAACATGTACCTCGTGACATCACGTGTTCATCATAGGGCATATTTGTTTATCATACCTTAGGATGAGTGACCACTCTAAAGTGCATTTTTACTCGACTAGGTCTCTATCGGAGAGTTTTCAACTTGAACACTAATTTATTTTTCTTACATTAAAAAGTGTTGGAAAAAGTCAAAAAAAAATGTCGACATGTACTATTCCATTACAAACGTGTTGTCGAGACATGTTGTCATTAGTTAACTGTCAACAAAAAGTTTTCTCGACACACCCTAAACCTTGTAGCCTCGACATAACCAATAAAAGGTGAGGTTCCACATCGGTTGAAGAGGGGAACCAAACATTCATTTTAAGAGTGTGAAAACCTCTCGCGTATTCAAACCTTGAGGAGAAGCCCAAAAAAGACAATATCTGCTAGCGGTGGGCCTGAACTGTTACAATATAATTCCCTTTTGGGTGAACAGGTGTGTAATACAAAGGAATCTATCGAACAATTTGGACCCGAGCAAGGGCCAAAAAAGGTGAGGTAGATCTCTCACTCCTTTATAAATATTAAATACCATAGGTCACATGCCCAAACCTAGACTCAACATGCCCTATTTTATGGGTCATGTCCCCAACCCACCCATCATTTTTAATTCTAATATATTATAAGCTTCCATTCGTAATTTAAATTTCATTTTGATCGATTAACGTCTTTAATTAATTAATTAATTTCCGATTAAGGATACTCTCACTCAACCGTGACAGTATCGTACTTTTAATATTTCACATATTATTGATATAAAAATTTGTTTTACTCGTATAATTATTACCCTTAAATAAAATCAGGTTTGTCTACGGTCTCGGATTACTAACTAAATGTCACCTATTTAAAATAGATGACAAAATCTCCGAGGGTTTGTAATTCACCTGCAATCAAGGTCAAGTAGCTCGTAACCCTTTATAGAATATTTGACTCTTTTTTTTTCATTTTTACGAAGAAAGTTGTCGGAGAGGCTTGATAGATTTTGTGGTTAAATTTGTTATCAAGGTTAGCTTTTATAGTATTGTCTCAATAAGACGCAAAATGATATTTTCTATTGGTCCCGAAAGAATGACGTCCTTGTATTAACAAAATGCAAGTAATTTTTTTTTTAAGAGAGAATCTCACAATCGGATCTCTAAATTAGTCAATTTTGGATGAGTTGGCTCCAACTAAAACTATAAAACTACTAATACATCAACGTTATGTTGACGACTATTACATATCAAATAGTCAAATGAATTCTACAGATGTTGTTATAATTAGACTGATTTGACTAAAATCCAATTTGTTTGGTATAGATGACAATGTCGGGAACCCACATTAACCTTCAAATAAACAATACGAGACAAACTAACCATGATGACTAATAAACTGTAAATATCCCTCTCTAGTCTCGTAGGCTGTAAATGAACCTACAAACATAATAAATAAATAAATAAATAAATAAAAAAGACTCAACACAAGTGAAAAGGTTATCCACGAGATTTGTAAAAAGCTTCAAGAAGTTCCTCAAAAGAGACTCACAAAAAAAAAAGGCGTAGAAAAGGATATCAGACTAAAATATGTGATAACGACGTTGATTTATTTACAACAAAGAGTAAATTATTTGAAAATAAATATACAAAATTACATTAGCTTAACAAATGTCACATGTAATAACTTTTAAAGGTTTGATTAATTAGGAATAAAATCATAAATTTGTATATTTCCCATAAGAATAACATAATTTACTTAAATATGATAATGAAAAAATATTATAAAATAATACCCATTTATATTATTATTATTATTATTATTTTGTTAGACAGAAAAAGAGGGGAGACCAAGACAGGTAGATTGACTGAGAGGAGAAGCTGGAAGAAACTAAAAAACAACAAAAAGGAGGCAAAGACAGTTGTTCAGTTTCAGCATTAAAAAAATAAAAATAAATAAAAACTAAAAAAAAATGAAGAAACCCGATCAAATAGAGATTTTTTCTTTCCATCATCTTTCGATTGTTAATACGATATATAAGGACCGCTACTACAAATAGTACCACACCCTTGATCGTGAGATATCGATTGCTTGTTGAACCCTGTGAATTGCATGAAAGTAAGATACTCCAAATTCCAAATTCGGGAGTCTAAAAGTTTTATAATACGTTCTTGGTGGAAAAAAATGTAAATCAAAGATCCCAGTTAATAGAATTGAGTCCATAAATGTAAGAAAGAGTGAGAATTCTTTGGTTTTTAAAACACATTTGCTAAAAAGAGGTTTACACACACTCTTAGAATGTATCGTTCTCCTCCTCAACCGACACCGACGTGAGATCTCACAGTTTAAAAGAAAAAATAACTTCAAAAAATGAACAAAAACTTGATTTATGTTACGACCAAAACTTACGGCCAGTAAATATTATCTTCTTTGAGCTTTTTATCTCGGTCTCCTTGAATTTTTTTAATAGTGTTTTCTAGAGAAAAGTTTTTAAACATTTACAAAGAAGAAAAAAAAAGAGTAAAAGAAATTGAGAAAAGGTTGATTTAAAAGAAAAAGGATCCAATGCAATTGAAGAGACAGAAGCAGAGCAGAAACCGAACCAGACCAGACCAGACCAGACCAGACCAGACCAACTTGGGTTCCAGCCTTTTTTTTTTTCTTTTGTTTTTCTGACAGCTAATGGTCCCCACACAAACACACACACACACCCCACCATGTGCTTCCCCCCTTCATTTCTGCCACCCATCACTTTGCCCCATAAGTAATAATCCCATCTCTCTCCCCCTCTCTAAACAAGATTATTTAATTCAAATTATAATTTTAGAATTTCTAATCCTAATTTATAATGGGGGATCCAATTAAATTTTAAAAAATTCTCCCATTAATGGAGATTTTGAGTTACTCTTCCTCTTCTGAAACTACTACGTCCCACCTTCTCCACCAGGAAGGCTTCCCAGCTATGCTCTAATCCATCCTCTCTCTCCCTCTCTCTCTCTCTCTCGCACCCTCTGTTTCTCTCTCTATGGGGAAGAAAACCCAGTTGGGAAGAAACAACCGTTTTCTCCTCCTAAATCTCTTACCCCTCTTCTCCATCTTCCTCTCTGCACACCCCCAAGAGCTAACCCCTGATGCTCCTGTAATGTTGGCTCTCAAACAGAGCCTAAACCCATCTGAATCCCTTGGCTGGTTGGACCCCAACCCTTGTAAATGGAACCATGTCCTCTGCTCCGACGATAATCGAGTCACTCGGATCCAAATCGGTCGCCAAAATCTCCAAGGTACGCTTCCTTCCAATCTCCAAAACCTCACTGCTTTAGAGCGATTAGAGCTCCAATGGAACAAAATCTCTGGCCCTTTGCCCACCTTGAGTGGATTGAGCTCTTTGCAAGTGATTTTGCTTAGTGGGAACCAGTTTACTTCCATTCCGGCTGATTTCTTCGCCGGAATGAGCTCTCTTCAGGCTGTCGAGATCGACGACAACCCCTTTTCGGCTTGGGAGATTCCGGCGAGCCTTCGAAATGCTTCCACTCTACAGAACTTCTCGGCTAACTCTGCGAATGTTTCCGGTCGGATTCCGGAGTTTCTTGGCGGTGAGGACATTCCAGGGCTGACTAATTTGCATCTTGCTTTTAATAACCTTGAAGGGGGTCTTCCTTCTAGCTTCTCAGGGTCTCAATTAGAGTCTCTGTGGGTTAATGGACAAAAGAGTGTGGATAAGCTTAGTGGGAGTATTGATGTTTTGCAGAATGTGACTTCCTTGAGTGAAGTTTGGTTGCATTCGAATTCGTTTTCTGGTCCCTTACCGGATTTTTCAAGGTTGAAGGATTTGCAGGTGTTGAGTTTGAGAGATAACAAGTTTACAGGCCCTGTTCCAAGTTCTTTAGTGAATTCTGAGTCCTTGAAAGTGGTGAATTTGACTAATAACTTGCTTCAGGGTCCAATTCCTCTGTTTAAAACAGGGGTTGCTGTGGATATGACTAATGGTTCCAACAGCTTTTGTTTGACAGATCCTGGGGAGTGTGATTCACGAGTGAATACATTGCTTTCCATTGTGAAATTTATGGGTTATCCTCAGAGATTTGCAGAGAATTGGAAGGGAAATGATCCATGTGCTGAGTGGATTGGAATTTCTTGCAGGAATCAGAGCATAACCATTATAAACTTTCAGAAAATGGGGCTTTCTGGTGTGATTTCTCCAGAGTTTGCCTCTCTTAAGGGGCTGGAAAGATTGGTTCTTGCTAATAATAACCTCACAGGCTCTATTCCTGAGGAGCTTACAACTCTTCCGTTTCTAACTGAGTTGGATGTTTCAAACAATCAACTTTCTGGGAAGATCCCTAAGTTTAGGAGTAATGTGATGATAAGCACTAATGGCAATCCTGATATTGGAAAAGAAAAGGGTGATTCTTCTTCGAATGGTGGTCCATCGTCTGGAAGTTCACCTGGGACGAAGGGAGCGGGTTCTAATGGTGGTGGAAACTCGGAGGACGGGGAGAAGAAACCTAGTTCCATGGTTGGAGTCATTGTGCTTTCTGTAGTTGGTGGTGTATTTGTTCTTTTCTTGATTGGGTTGGTGGTTTTGTGTGTGTATAAAATGAAGCAGAAACGGTTTAGCCAGGTGCAAAGCCCGAACGCTATGGTTGTTCATCCACGGCATTCAGGTTCCAATAATGAGAGTGTAAAGATCACGGTTGCTGGATCGAGTGTTAGTGTAGGTGCAATTAGTGAAACACAGTATGGTGCTAGCAGTGAGGCTGGTGATATTCAAATGGTTGAAGCAGGGAATATGGTGATTTCAATTCAGGTATTGAAAAACGTCACCAACAATTTCAGTGAAGAGAACATTTTGGGACAGGGAGGATTCGGAACCGTCTACAAAGGAGAATTGCACGACGGGACGAAGATTGCAGTGAAGAGAATGGAATCAGGAGTCATTAAAGGCAAAGGACTTACAGAGTTCAAGTCCGAAATTGCAGTTTTGACAAAAGTTCGGCACCGACATCTCGTCGCCCTTCTCGGATACTGCTTGGACGGAAACGAGAAGCTTCTTGTCTATGAGTATATGCCTCAAGGCACACTTAGCAGGCATCTTTTCAACTGGCCAGAAGAAGGATTAAAACCTTTGGAATGGACAAAGAGGTTGACCATTGCATTGGATGTTGCAAGGGCAGTTGAGTATCTTCATGGTTTGGCTCATCAAAGCTTTATACATAGAGATTTAAAGCCTTCAAACATTCTTCTTGGAGATGATATGAGAGCTAAGGTTGCAGACTTTGGTCTTGTGCGTCTAGCTCCTGAAGGTAAGGGTTCTATCGAAACGAGGATCGCCGGGACCTTCGGATATTTGGCACCAGAATATGCAGGTACTTGCCTTTGAATTTCTTTCATCGACTTTCTTTGCCTCTCGCGTTCTGTAAATATAGCTTGACTGCAATTTTCTATCACGGTTATAGAACGAAATGCCGATATATGACTGTTTCATGCACTGCATCTATGTCAAAAAATAAAAAAATAAAAAAAACCTTCGATGTACGATTTTAAACATATAAAGTAAATCTTCTTCCATGGCTTAGTTAGAACTTAGAATAGAACTTAGAACGTACCTCCTCAAGATAGAAAGATCAACTGATGTGTAGCAGCAGGTAGAAGAGAAGTGAATGGCCAATGGAGCGAACTTTTTTGCTTGCAGCTACGACTCAGCATCCAAAACTTTGATATTTATCTGCCATTGTTGTGTTTCTGCATGAAAAGTAGACAGTGCATTAAGTCAAGAAGCTTATAGTTTGTGCCTTGGCTTTCATACAGCCATTGATCCTTCAAGATTCTGAGATTCTCTATCTTGTTAGGGTTTTTCGAGCCCGTATTTGCAATGACTCGATACTAACATAAAAGACCTGTTCTGCAGTTACCGGTCGAGTAACAACCAAAGTTGATGTATTCAGCTTTGGTGTGATTCTAATGGAGCTAATCACTGGGAGAAAGGCACTCGACGAGAGCCAACCTGAGGAGAGCATGCATCTCGTAACTTGGTTCCGTCGGATGCAAATCAACAAGGACTCCTTCCACAAGGCCATTGATCCGACCATTGATCTCACTGAAGAAACATTCGCCAGCATCAACACCGTGGCTGAGTTGGCAGGTCATTGTTGTGCCCGGGAGCCATATCAAAGGCCAGATATGGGTCACACAGTCAATGTATTATCATCTCTTGTTGAGTTTTGGAAACCAACTGACCAGAACTCTGAAGATATATATGGCATTGACCTCGAGATGTCGTTGCCTCAAGCTCTCAAGAAATGGCAGGCTTATGAAGGTAAAAGTCAAATGGAATCGTCTTCATCATCCCTTCTTCCCAGCTTTGACAACACTCAGACCAGCATACCAACACGACCATATGGATTTGCAGAATCTTTCACATCTGCAGATGGGAGATAAAAAACTATTTCTAGTGTAAAAGGTCATCTATGGTTTTGCAAGTTATTCTCATTTACTTCTCTTGCAAAACAGTGTTTATATGTAATAGTTCTCGACCCTTCATATTCCTCCAAATTTCTAATGTGTCTCCGTATGAATGTGTATTAGTGTTTTGAACCAGAAAAGACTGAAAAGATGGGGGAAGGGATATTTAGATTTATCCCTTTAACTGTAAAAGATTTTGGGTGCACCTTGTTAGAATTAAAAGCTCCATTCTTGTTCTTTAGTCTCCAAGAGTAACTTTGGTTCTACAGCCAAATTACTCGAGAACAAATGACCTGAAAGTATTCAACATGATGTTAGAAATATAAGCTAAAAACATTCTTGGACACGTTTCAAGCATGGTCAACTAGTGCCCAAATGCATGGTGGATACTTGTTACCTTATGCGGGGAAACCAGCCATTTTCTTGCCCTCCTTTACTAGATCACAAAAGTCACTGCTATTTCCTATGTATTTTTCCACAATGTACATATATACAAGGCAAACAATCACAACTAGAACAACAGTTGATTCTCAATCATACACACCTTTTCTCAACGACCAAAGATATTTGCATGCTTAAAAACACCATATCTCCTGCAGAATCCACTAAAAAAAGCCTCTGTCAGCAACCTAATTTATATTTGGATCTTCTACAACTTGGATCTAGGACATGCTCAACAGTGTAAGTCTTGCGCCACCTTTCTTTGGAGGCAATCATTAACCTTCTCGAGGTAAGATATGATCCAAGAACAAGTACAATCCAACCACTCAATATCATCCACTACTAATGGTTCAAGACATGTTCCTTGGAACTAACTAGAGCATCTAACTATTAAAGCCAATACTTAAGTGATGATACCTGTCATCTCAACAAACATTCCTTTTCCTTTACAGGCTGTCTCTGGCAAGAACCAAAAATTTTCCGCATCCACATAATGAATTTACCAATTTGATCTAAACTTCTGCCTACGGTCAACTCGTTTTTTCAATGCTGAGTTTGGTTTCAAGACGGACTAGTGTTAATATGAATGAATTGAGAAAGATTTGGACACCCCAAATGGTTTTGGTTGACTAAGGGAGGGACGGCAGGAATTTGTGAGTTTCATTCATGAACGTTTGTAGGTAAAAAAAAAAAAAGGTGTAATATGATAATCTTTCCATCGTATATGCACACTTTTCAACTCAGCTGTTCACTGGCGGTGTAAAACAGGAATGTCGGTTCATGCCTATTCGATCCAATGGTACCGACTGAAAATGGACTGGGACATTCTTTGTGGCATGTAAGAATTTGTTTTGTAAATCAAATGGCCCAATAAATAAAAGAAGACATTATTGGGCCATTTGATTTAACAGAAACAAATTCCTGGACTGTGCCGAAGTTGACTAAATAAGCACCGTTTGGGAACAGTAAAAGGAACTATGTTAGTTATAGACCTTACATGACAAACAGAAGCATAAAATGACTATAGTATGAAAGGGATAGTCCTCACAACATTCTTCTTTGCATTACAGAATGATCGTAGGCTGTCTTCATCAATAATGCCGGAGCTCGATAAATGAACTCCATAATTTTCCATTCTTTTAATATCTCGTGGAATGGGAGATTGCCAAAGTCCATCCCACCATGCCGGAGGGAGAAGAGGGGTTAAGGCACACTGATTAGGCTGGCCAGGACAGCTTAAAGGACCTGCAAATCTGTTCCAGATATGCCCCCAGCCAACCTGGTTCTTCAAACCCTCTGTCAACAAATTACTTTGGAAGCTACTCAAAAATGAAAAGTCTGAACCAGTAGAGTTGTTCCCTGGGCACATTGACATGTTATGTAAGAAACAGTTGAACAAATGTTCCTCAAGGAAATCATTCTTTTCCTACATTATCCAACATGGAAAATGATTGAGAGAGTTCTTTACAATACCAGGATTGTCAAGATTGTGTGCTGCAGCCAGTGCCGCGATTAGCTGAGCATAGGTAGTACCTATACGCCGGTGAGCACCAGATATAACAGCATGCTTGGCACGGGATGCAAGAAAGAAATCCACAAAAGCAACCCATCTTGGTGACGGGCCCCAGTCCTTCACTCTGAAATCCAATTTATGGAATTCATCATGCGTTGCAGAGATGTTTCCTCTAAAGTGTTCGTAATCAAAATGAATAACCTGAAAAAAAATTACGAATGAAGTTAGTCCAATTTTTTTTTACAAGCGTACAAAAGATCTAGGAGGCTATAACCGATCAATTATTCCATTAACCATGTAATCTGAAAATGGGGCTATCAATTGTCCAGAAGTGACACAATTCGATGAAATGAAATTGTGCAATGAGGCAGTTACCTCTGCAAATTCGCCTAAGATTGGCATGATGCTTTTTACGAAGTCTGGAGTATCAGATACTAAAACCAATCTGGGTTTCGGGACTGTGGTTAGATTAAGCATGGCTTTTCTGATGCACTGCACTGCGGCCTGTAAACCTCTGATGGACCTGAAATACAGATGCACATTACTCAGTTGAAGGATTACAAAATTGAGGGAAATTTTCTTACATTCCGAGTAGTCTGGATACTACTCTCATTAATTAATTGTCTCATAAGCATCTTTATGAATGACGTGGGGTTTATCAGCATTAAACATAAAAGAGTAGGCACAATGAGAGTACTAGAAATTTTCCCAAAAGAGAGGGACAAAAGAACCATCAGGTTCCTTTTTCTTTTCAACAATTTCTCAGGTTCCTTTTTCAACAATTTCTAATCTCTAGTGAATCTCTCAATAGGATTCGAACCCATATAAAGTTCTGACCATCTGTCAGAGAAAAAAGAACGAATAAATCTTATAGGATTTTTAAGAAATTCTTTGATTTCTTCCGGATAATCATCTGCTTCTCACGTTCCGTGAATAGCCGAAACATTGAGAAATATCCATAAAAACATTTAGGGAATGAGTCTGATTCTATCTCTATTCATTCCGTTTGAAGAAGGGAAGGATCCCAAATAATTGATCTTTCTTTTAGTTGTTGAATCTCTCTTTGATTTTCGAATCCTCGTTACTAATGAAATCAAAATGATCTCTGGATGGATCAAAAGCCAGTATTTTATCAAATAAATGGAATTTATTGAAAGAAGAATCCGTGGATTCAATTCTTATAGCTGGTGGCAGTAGAGAAAGAAGGAAACAACAGTAGTTAAGTAGTAAAACCACCTATTCATAAGCATCCGCATGTGCAATGAAATATCAGGATCAGCCCCACTTTTAAGGACTGAAAGCACTGCCTCTTCAACATCCTTTGAAGGAGATATAAGAATTCTCATCAGTTCTCCAAATACATTAGGTCTAGATTCTAAAACCTCCGGCTGTCCAAATAAATTAGAAGCAGCAGCCCTCATAGCAGGATGTACATTCTTCAAGAAAAATTGAGCAGCCACAGCATCAGTTGTACCTTGGAACCTGATGCACTCCATTCAGCATAATAAACAAGTACAAAATGAGTACCAGTTTAATGTAAAATGAAAGTTAATCATACCATATGATAGGATGCTCCCATTCCTTCCAATTACTGCAAAGGACATTTGTCTGTGCAGGCTTTTCAAAATCGTCAATCCGCATGATCAAATGCCTTTTGAATTTCCTAACACAACCTTTAAGTCTCCACAAATGTTTGATTTCTTTCAAGGTAAACGAGATATCAGAATAAGATATGTAGTCCCCGAATGGAAACTTGCCCCTGAAAATATTAGTAATAGAATAACTACTGTAAATATAGATAATTAAAGGAAAAAAAAAGATGACTAGGAGGAAAAAGTTAAAAAGAAAAAACATACAGAGAATAGTTCAAGTTCACATGCTATCAAGGCACGACTACAAACCTATTTCACAGATATGCCATAGTTTCCATACCATACCAGATGCACCACGAGTTTTTACATACCATATCATAGACAATAAATGCTTCTAGCGACTCAATGCAATTATAGTATTCAAAACCAATATTTAAATAGAAATAAAAAGACTTGATATAGAATCAACATGCCTGGTTTGCCCAATAATCAAGGATCTGTTCAGCATTATACTTAAAGCTCCAGCAGTTAGAATCTTGTACATCTCATTTCCAAAGCCTGCCTCGGAAGATTTTCCCATGACAAAACCATGTTTGCAGAACTGCTCAGGAGGAAGATGTCGCACTCTTGAAGCACCTAAAATGAAACTAACTATGTGAGCATTTGTAGATCTCAAAAAGCTAACAAGTTTTCCACCAGAAAACAATTATGACAGAAGATTTGACAGTGAAGGAAACGTCAAGATGGTTCGCGCATAATCATCCATAAAAACGAAAAGAAGATGACAGTATTATGAAGTTAATGAAACCAAAAGTCAAAAGATGGCAATCAAGAAGATTAGTTTTAAATTGTATTTGAATAAAGAGCATAGACCCGAGTTAAATATGCACACCATCAGACAAGTACTAATTTTCCGATGACCTATTCTAATTCTAAAGAACGAATATACATACTTGAGTTTCCTCCCTTATGTATTATTTTGTCAGGAGGTACACCATAACTCGCAAGACTCAAGAAGTTCCAGTTTGTGGTCTTCGCTGCAACTGCTTAGCTTCACAAAACGTCCTCAAGTGGAAGTTTGGAAGCAGTTACAAACTTAAGAAACCAGTAAGTTGACTATTAATTACAACTGACTATACTAGTCAATAAATCAAAATAGTAAACTGACGGCAGCAATTAACTTCTAACATTGAACTAAACCAAACCAGCCAGCGGTTCATTTTCAATTTACTCCATTGGTATCTTCCTTATTATAGACCTAACAGTTGCTTTGTAACAGCCCAAGTCCACCACTAGCAGATATTGTCCGCTTTGGCCCGTTACGTATAGCCATCAGCCTCACGGTTTCAAAACGCATCTGCTAGGGAAATGTTTCCACACCATTATAAGGAATGCTTCATTTCCCTCTCCAACCAATGTGGGATCTCACAACCATTGAGTCCACCTCGATTTCAAAGCAGCTCAGGGAGATCATTATGCATGCACATAAGGTACCTAAATTGAATCATGATTACATTGAAGTTTTAACCACGTATACTATCGTTATGGTATTAATACTATGATCGTTATGGCATTATTATCCCCCACTGACCAAGTGAAATGGTCTCTTCGACCTGCCAAAGAAAGAACGATAATGGCATTCCACCCTTCTGCTAAATTTTTTATTTTATTTTATTTAATAAGAAGCTG